CCGGGCGCCGTGCGCGCCGACTGCTGGCTCATCGAGGGCGACAAGGGCTACGTGTGGCTGGCCATCTGCAGCCAGAACCAGCCGCCCTACGAGACCATCCCGCAGCACATCAACAGCACGGTGCACGACCTGCGGCTCAACGAGAACAAGCTGAAGGCCGTGCTCTACTCCTCGCTCAACCGCTTCGGGAACCTCACCGACCTCAACCTCACCAAGAACGAGATCTCCTACATCGAGGACGGCGCCTTCCTGGGCCAGTCGAGCCTGCAGGTGCTGCAGCTGGGCTACAACAAGCTCAGCAACCTGACGGAGGGCATGCTGCGCGGCATGGGCCGGCTGCAGTTCCTCTTCGTGCAGCACAACCTCATCGAGCTGGTGACGCCCGCCGCCTTCTCCGAGTGCCCGAGCCTCATCAGCATCGACCTGTCCTCCAACCGCCTCAGCCGCTTGGATGGCGCCACCTTCGCCAGCCTGGCCAGCCTCATGGTGTGCGAGCTGGCCGGCAACCCCTTCAACTGTGAGTGCGACCTCTTCGGCTTCCTCGCCTGGCTCGTGGTCTTCAACAACGTCACCAAGAACTACGACCGCCTGCAGTGCGAGTCGCCGCGCGAGTTTGCCGGCTACCCGCTGCTGGTGCCCCGGCCCTACCACAGCCTCAACGCCATCACCGTGCTCCAGGCCAAGTGCCGCAACGGCTCCCTGCCCGCCCGGCCCGCCAGCCACCCCACGACGCCCTACTCCACCTACGCCCAGCGGGAGCCCGACGAGAACTCGGGCTTCAACCCCGACGACATCCTCTCGGTGGAGCCGCCGGCCTCGTCCACCACCGATGCGTCCGCGGGGCCCGCCATCAAGCTGCATCACGTCACCTTCACCTCGGCCACCCTGGTGGTCATCATCCCACACCCCTACAGCAAGATGTACGTCCTGGTCCAGTACAACAACAGCTACTTCTCCGACGTCATGACGCTCAAGAACAAGAAGGAGATCGTCACGCTCGACAAGCTGCGGGCGCACACCGAGTACACCTTTTGCGTGACCTCGCTGCGTAACAGCCGCCGCTTCAACCACACCTGCCTGGCCTTCACCACGCGGGACCCCGTCCCGGGCGACCTGGCGCCCAGCACCTCCACCACCACCCACTACATCATGACCATCCTGGGCTGCCTCTTCGGCATGGTCATCGTGCTGGGAGCTGTCTACTACTGCTTGCGCAAGCGACGCATGCAGGAGGAGAAGCAGAAGTCCGTCAAGGTCAAGAAAACCATCCTGGAGATGCGCTATGGCGCCGACGTGGACGCCGGCTCCGTGGTCCACGCCGCCCAGAAGCTAGGCGAGCCCCCCGTGCTGCCCGTGTCCCGCATGTCCTCCATCCCCTCCATGATTGGGGAGAAGCTGCCCACCTCCAAGGGGCTGGAGGCCGGGCTGGACACGCCCAAGGTGGCCACCAAGGGCAACTACATCGAGGTGCGCACGGGCACGGGCGGGGATGGCCTGGCCCGGCCTGAGGATGACCTCCCGGACCTGGAGAATGGCCAGGGCTCGGCTGCTGAAATCTCCACCATTGCCAAGGAGGTGGACAAGGTCAACCAGATCATTAACAACTGCATCGATGCCCTCAAGCTGGACTCGGCCTCCTTCCTGGGAGGTAGCGGCGGTGGCGGGGACTCTGAGCTGGCCTTCGAGTGCCAGACCCTCCCTGCGGCCACCACCACCTCCTCAGCCACCGCCCCTGGGGCTCTGGAGCGGCCCAGCTTCCTCTCACCCCCCTACAAGGAGAGCTCTCACCACCCGCTACAGCGCCAGCTGAGTGCCGATGCCGCCGTGGCCCGCAAGACCTGCAGCGTCTCGTCCAGCGGCTCCATCAAAAGCGCCAAGGTCTTCAGCCTGGATGTGCCTGACCACCCGGCTTCCGCGGGGCTGGCCAAAGGCGACTCCAAGTACATCGAGAAGGGCAGCCCTCTCAACAGCCCACTGGACCGGCTCCCACTGGTGCCCGCGGGCAGCAGCGGGGGCGGCGGGGGCGGCGTGCACCACTTGGAGGTGAAGCCCGCCTACCACTGCAGCGAGCACCGGCACAGCTTCCCGGCCCTGTACTACGAGGAGGGCGCCGACAGCCTGAGCCAGCGCGTGTCCTTCCTCAAGCCGCTGACCCGCTCCAAGCGGGACTCCACCTACTCGCAGCTCTCCCCAAGACACTACTACTCAGGGTACTCCTCCAGCCCTGAGTACTCCTCGGAGAGCACGCACAAGATCTGGGAGCGCTTCCGGCCCTACAAGAAGCACCACCGGGAGGAGGTGTACATGGCCGCCGGCCACGCCCTGCGCAAGAAGGTCCAGTTCGCCAAGGACGAGGACCTGCACGACATCCTCGATTACTGGAAGGGGGTCTCGGCCCAGCAGAAGCTGTGACCCTCTCTCTCCTCCCCGGTGAGGTCGGAGGGGGAAGGCGGGGGGGCACGTGGGGAAAGGGCCCGGGAGGCCGGGCAGGGGCCCGCGGGGGCCGAGGCCGAGGAGTGGACGCACACGCACACCCACACGCACGCACCCACGCACACACCTGACCACCACCTGACTGTGAACAACCACCACCCGACAATAACGGACAGGAAAACAAAGACACGTTCTCCTTAAAGTTTACACACTGATACCGAAACCAGGCGTCTTTACTGTGCTGCCCAGGGACTCTGCTGGGGTGTGCGGGGCCGGGTGCTCTGGGAGGCAGGCGAGGTAGCCGGACGAGGGTGGGGCCTGGGGCTCTGGGACTAGGGACAGGTTTGGGAGCAAAGGCGCCGGGGGCAGAGATGGACTGCGGCCACTGTGGGGCAGGGAGAGGTCCCCCGTTGACGGACAGGTCACCTGGAGATTTAGCACCAGGTAGACATTGGGCGTTGTTTCCTTCCTTTACGGACGGGGAAACTGAGGCCCAGGGAAAGGAAGTGATTACCCCGGGGGCATGAGGCAGGTTAGAGTCAGTCTCCCAACTTCCCAGCCCAGTGCTATCCCCGACCCCTAGTGGCTTCCCTGGGCCCCGACCCTCCATCTACCCACCGCCCCCTTCCAGCCGTGGTCTCTTGCGGCAGAGGAACTTGAGAATCGGGCAGGTACTTTTCCTTTCTGGCAAGCCCCATTGCCGTGCCCCCAGAGCGTGGAGCTGGGATTCAGCATGCTGGGGGCCCTTGGTCCCCATGCCAGCACCCAGGGGAGGCGGGAGGTCCTGCTGACAGGAAAGGAGCAGAGGCATGGGGTCATTCCACCAGCCCCTTCAAGTGTCTTCCAAGCAGCCTGGGAGCTGCCTGTGGGGTCTGAGAAGCGATAGTGGGCCAGTTCCCATCACCTCTCAGATGTAGGCCCCCAGCGATCCGGGCCTCCAAGACCCCTACGCACCCCAGGAGGGCAGCAGTGAACTGTGATGCCTGGGGGCGGCACAGAGGGGGGTGTAATGGGGCCTTCCTGCCTGTGTCCTCACATCCTGGCCTCCTACCTGCCTAACCCCACCGTGGGATCTCTGGGCAGCATCTCAGCCTGCCCAGAGGAAGGAGGGCTGTCCCAGGCTTTCTCACCCAGCCCCTCTTGGCTGCCCTTCCCTGCCCCACCCCAGGCCCAAGGGGCTCTCATATTTCCATGGAAATATGGAAATGTCCACTTCCCTCTTGCTGACCCCCACCCAACATCGAACAAAGCACAAACAGTGAGCACCCCCGCCCCCGCTTGGGGGGAACAGGCTGGGTTCATGGGGCCCCTCCCTGTCCCTGGCCAGCCTCTGTCACCATGGCAACCCAGAGCCTGGCAGTTAGGACCGTTGGGCTCCTAGGGGTTCTCCCAGTGTAAGCGTCAGAGGGCGGTGAGGGAGGGCAGGGACAGGGGGCAGCTGCCTTGCTCACAAACTAGGGGCTCCTCGAGGCCAGCTCTGGGGGCAGATCTGGGGTCCTGAGACTGTGGGGTCTTGAACACTGTCCACGTGCTGAGGGGCCGGAGTCAGTCGTTCCTTCACCTTTGGTTGGGAGGTGGGCCAGTGGGGGTGGGGACAACTCTAGCTTTGCCCACCTGCCAATGCGCCCCTTGGCTCTGCACGCACCTCAGGATGGGGAGCAGCCCACTCAGCCTCCCCGCACCTCTGCCAGAGACCCCCGACCTCTGTCCGGTCACCCAGTTAGGTTTCTTGAGATTGGGGATTGTGACTATGGGGCGAGGGTGGACACTGGGGTGGGACCAAGGCCTGTACTGTGTGTAGGGGTCTCCCCGGGAAAACTGGTGCCACCCCCTGGGTGGGGGGCTTCAGTGATCTTCCTGCCAGGGGTGGGTGGGGAGCGTTTGAGGAAGGACAGTGGAGGGCCGGGGAGCCTCAGGGCTCAACTGAGCGCCTCTCTCATACCCACTTGGGGGACTGACCGAACTTGGGGCTCACTTTGGGGGTGACATTTGCAAAGAAAGGACTGTTCTCCTGGGGAGTGGAGGGGAGGGGGCCCGCATGGATATGCAGAGCAGACCTCCCCCAATTCCCCAAACCTGCCCCAACCCCTCCTCACACCGGATTGGCAAAACTGAGGAAGCAAGCAGGCGGAGAAGCCAGCGGTGTGAGCAAGCAGACTCCCTGTTATATTTGCATGACGATTTTCCTGTATTTTTCTGAGCAAACATCTGTCGTGTATGTGCCGGTTTGTCCAGACTCCCCTGCCCCCCTCTCCGCCGCCCCCCTTTTCTCACATCCCCTCTGTCGTGATCTGACGAGCAGCTCTTGACACCCGGGGAGGGGCCGGCTCTGCAAAAGACCCAAAACAGGTGCCACCAAACACAGCCCCCGTCCCATACCCGCTTCCTGTCTTTCTGGACTTTGGGCCCCCAAGTGCCACCTGCCCTCCTTCCTCTGCCTCTCACGTCCCCAGTTCCTTCCCATCTGTCCTCGTCCTCGCCCCTTCCCTTCCTCCCTGCCAGGGAAGGGCAGCCCCGGGAAAGGGAAGGGCTTCTCCCTTGTTCCACTTGCTCCCATTTTGCAGATGAAGAAGTTGGGGCTCCCCAAGAGGGAGGGGCCTGATGAGTTGGCTACCGGGTAGGGGGCAGGGGGTCAGTCACACTGCTGAGTATAGCAGGCCAAGAGCTTGGGGCTTCACGGACAGCTCTGTAGGGAGGCTTGGGGCCCTGAGGGAGGAGCCCCTGGGAGGAACAGGGGCCGAGGTTGGCCTGGCCTCACTGGAGTTGGAGCTGCCCACAGGGAAGGTTCTAGCAGCAGGAGTGGGCGTCCCACCTTCCCATTCTGCCATCATTCCTGGTTGAAGATGACTTATACAAACCTCAGACCGGCCCATTTCAGGGGGCTTTAAGGATAGGTCCCCATCGTAACAGTGAGGGTCTTGCCACTCCAGGGTGTGAACCAACTTCACGACCCAGGTCACACCGGTCTTTGGGGCAGAATTGTTTCTGAATCTCTGGCCCCCGGAACCCCCAGCCAAGCCCGGCCCCTTGCTCTGGGGGAGGGACTGCTGCATCGTAGGCCGGTCTGGGGGCTTTCCTGCACCTGTGTCCTGTGTCCTATTCGGGATAATTCTTCACCAGGGGAGAACAAAATATTCACAAAAGACAAATGAGCATTTATGTCTAGGAGTCTGGCTGGCCAGGGGCCCATGTTTGTAATGGTGATGGACACAGTGGAGTTGGGCCGTGGCCTGGGCAGGACCGGAGGGCAGGCAGCTGGGAGAGAAGGGACTGGTGGATTGGGGGACAAGCTGGCTAGAGATGTGTGCTGCACCCTGTCACAGGCCTCCCAGCTTTGGGTCACGCCTGGGCTTGCTGTTCCTGTCAGAAAATCTCCAGAGGAAATTCCTGGGTTCCTCTCCCTGGGAGGTGGTGCCAATGGGTCCGCTCCCTTCTAGAGGGCATGACAGGTGTTGCTAACCCTCTGTTGGAGCTAATGACCTTCCAGAAGCAAAAAGCGGAGGTCTGGTGGGAAGTCTGGTGCAGACACCTCCTCGTGGGTCCCGGGTTTACTTCTCCCTTCTGCAGGGGGGGCCTCTCTCTGCCTACAGAAGGCCCCTTGTCTCAGCACCCCTTCTAGGGGACAGCACAGGACGACTGGAGGGGCTGCCCGTGTCCAGGCCGAGGAAGCAGCTGTCTGCGGATGGATGGGGGGAGAAAGAGCCATTTGGGAAGAGTAGGCCCGGATGGCCCTGGAGAGGCAGACAAAAGTCTGGGCCTGGCCAAGGGCCTCCAGTGTTCCCAACTGGAAGTCGCTTGCCTGTCCCCTCTCCTGGGAATTTAAGAAGGAGGAACGGAAGCGGAGGGAAGGGAAGGAAGGAAGTTTTCTAGGGTCTCCAAATCAGTTAAGGACAGATTAAGGCCAGGAAAGGGGCCAGGTAAGGGGGACAAGACAGGTCCCAGCTTATAAAGGGTTTACATGCAGTTTACATGCAGTGAAGGGAGAACCCAAAAATATCCCCGGTGACGGTCACTGTGCAGAGAATTAAAATGGGGTGCTGGAGGAGGGAGGAGCTGGGGTGCCTCTCGGAAGAGGAGGTGACCTGAATGACCTGAACCAGAGGACTAGCCCCCTG